GTTGCAGATTGTAGCTTCTCATAAAAACTCTCTAACATTTGATATATTTTTGCCTGACCCCCTCCACGTTGTCGACTACTGTAAATATGAGTTTTTTTGCATGCACGTTTTTCTAGCTGTTGCGGATTATAGAGTTGCAAAGGTAAACAGACCGCTTTAAAGAAAAGCCGTTTTGGTTATAATATCTCAACGGTTTCTCGGGATAAAAACGTGATATCGTCCCCATTTTTTCGAAATCCGCAACATATCGGCTCAAATTACCTAGTCCAAAACAGGTTTTAAACTGATGAATTAGGCCGTATTTTACAGAAATCTGCAACCGAAACATCATATCGGCCCCGATATTTCAGACGGTGGATAAGGGGTACCAGTCATTACGAGTTCAATCCCTGCCGCGGTTAAAAAAATGTATACAAATTTCAAGTAAGGTAACGGATCTATTGCGGCATTGTGATCAGATAGTGTGTGATTGGCTATGATAATATTCATGCATGTAATAATATAGAATTGCACACAATGAACTTTGGTACATTTTTATAAATCATATTGAATAAGAGTACTACGAAGTCTTGGCCATCAGCAGATGCTACCACCAATGCTGATAGACCCTCGAAAGCCGCTAAGATGTACTGCGGGGTTATTCGTGGGACCTCACACGTGGTGTTGAGGGTATCGTGGGCTGGCTTGGGTACCACGCCTGACAGCCCTCACCTTCGGCCTCAACGAGTTGAAATTTTAAATACTTGACTCTTTTATATTTTGGTGAAATTTAATTTGCTAGTAGTGCACCATTCAAATACAATCATGGATGAATTTCAAAATATTTATATTGCGTATTTTAATTCAATCAATACTAGGCCCAAGGAATCTCCAATCGTTCAGGAAATATATCCACCCAGAAAGTCGTTTCTCACTAACCCACCGTATTATTATTGCATACAAATCACAAATATCGTCTAAAGCCGCCCATTTCAAGTTTAAAAAACGCTCCGTGAGTTATATTTCGACACCATACCCTTGGATTTTGAAAACTGCATTGCCGAGCAATAGCCCTTTAAAGTTTGGACCAAAATGGATCCAAAAACAGTTCAGAAAATCGATCCCTTACCTTACAAAACAATAAAATAAAAACAATCATTCGGAGTATTCAACATATATTCTAAAATCTACATCGACTACGGCAAGGCCTTAACGAATGTTGTTCGCATTTCGTCTTCAGAAATCATGTCCCACGCCTTAATTGCACGTCAATCATGGCAATGCGCTTTTCTTTTGCATTTGTTGCAGTGTTCTGAGTGACAACCCATAAATCACGCAGATTATGTTTGAACGGTCCCATAAAAGAAACGTCCAACGGCTGGCAATGAGAAGGAATGTTTGGTCGAAATGGACACAGTTCACTTCCAAGCTCATCGCGGGCAATACCGTCGCTTGCTTTGCTGACATGGCTGTCGAAGTTATCCACCAGGAGAATTGATGGGTCCTCAATGCTTGAATGGAGCACCTCACGAAGGTAGTATTTCCATACCGATCCATTCATCCACGCCTTCTTTTGCATGGCGTAGAAGTGGCTGGGTGGGATAGTCGTCGAATTCATTGGTCTCAATACCGCCACCAGCCTCGCCACGTATAACAAAAAGTATCGGTACAATGCTTTGCGGAGAAACTCGGTCAGTGCAACACTGAGCTGTGTCTTGGATTTTGTATGTACAGTTGCACTATTAGCAAATATATTTTAATAAACTCATTGCTTCAAGTTTGTCCATTGAAGTTGACGTTGTATATCATTGGCTGATACTGTCCAAATTTGCACCAGTCACATCTCCATTGTATCGTTACAACGAAATGTCTCAATTCCAGATCGACGCCGATCACAATTCCGACGTCACCAAACGATTCAGGGGGGTTTACCCTGAGAACCCTCCTACCGACTTTAACAAGCCAACAACGGTCCATCAACAATACCAATGAACACATATGTATTTGTATTATACTTCAGGTACAGTTGGAATTGCTTTGTCAAAGGACTTCGCTACTGTTTCTGACGTAATTTTTTCCCAAACTAGTATAGTCCTCTTTACCATTGCAAGTCGCTTTTCTTGGGCACTAGTATAGTCCTCTTTACCATTGCAAGTCGCTTTTCTTGGGCAGTAAAGACATCGTCAACACTACTACGACTGTCTTCTTCCAAAAGCCACGCCGTCTTCAGCATCGCCTTGAGAGGACCCATCACCCCAACATCGAGCGGCTGACACCGACTAGTCGAGTTCGGAGGGAGGTCCAAACATGGCGCAAGTACCTCGTCAAGGTACATCGACCAGACGCGCTCGTCCATCCATGCGTTCTTTTGGACAGCATAGAAATGACCAGCAGGATACGTTGAAAGCTCCTTCTTGTCAATCACGCCACCAGGCTGTCCTTTGAGGATAAAAAGCAACGGCAACTTCACACCTACAATTTAATTAAGCAAGATATATTTGAAACTATCTTTCCGTCTGCTCGAATTGTCAGGACAGCGGTCAGCCGATCTGAAAGCTTCTCGCCGTTCGCTACCTTGCTTGACTTGCCAATTTCAGCCAATGTCTTCCCCGGGGGCATGTCAAAGTACACGGCGGTTTTATCGACAACAGTTGGCTTCGGTCGTACTGGGCGTACTTGCTCCAAAACGACGCGGCGTATCCCAACCACACTTCGTCTAGCACTCGTTGGGTCACCTTGCTGATGCATGGTGGGCGGTGGCGAAATCGATGTCGCTCGGCAAAGCGTAGCAGCAAAGATCGGAACGAATTGAACGCCGCCGCCTCGCTTTTTTGCTCGCCAAGTACTGTACTAGCCAAGCCTTCTGGTACTGTTTGACCCATTGCATGAGGTGGAACACGCGGACGTAGCGTTCTTCGTTGCGTCGGCCACGCATAAATGCCAACAGGTCATCCTTGAATGGAATGATCTCCTTGGCTTCCCTGACCGCCCATCGTGGCGCAGCGGCTGTGCCTCTTGTTTGCCATGATCTTGTCTTCCTTCTATCGCCAGCCTTGCCAAGTCAAGTACGGGAGGTGCTTTGCACGACAGAACTGGCGCTCGCTGGTTGCGTCAGACGCATGGAACTCCGCTAGGAGCTCCTATCGTTGACCTTTGGAGTACCGATGTTGCTGTCGACCTCGGTTGTCCATTCTTGGATGACAATCAAATTTGATTCAAACATTTGAATCGAGTCAATCACATTGAGGCGAGTTCTGATTGGTTCTATTGCTTAAAATTATATTTGTCCAATTGCATGATAGTAACCTGCTTCGCCACAATTGAAATCTATATTATTTTTGAATTGTTGCACTGACCGAGTTTCTCCGCAAAGCACTGTAGCTTGGCACCAACTCCACGGATCGTTTCAGCGCGGCCATAGGGTAGGAGTAACTTTCGGAGTTGGCGACATAACTATCGCCACCTCAAACGCCCAAATCGTACTTGGACACATGTCGTAGTACATACCCGTTTCGTCAGCGTTGTAAACAGTGCTCGGTGATGTCTGAAATTCTGTATACCGGACATACATTTTCAGGATATACATTCACTCTCTTTATATGATAATTTGTATTGAGAATGTCTGTTCCTCAATTTTGTCCGTCCAGGTGCAAAAATCAATTGTTGTATGGAGAGTCCTTGCACAAGTGCGTTCGCTCATTTGTGGCCATAACCACGTTTCCAGCATTCTAATTGGCTAACCATATTCAAACAGTTGCTCCCACTCCCATTTGTTACTGAGATATCCCAAAAAATGTGAGCGTTTCTGGGTTTCGGGAACCACGTTTCCAGCATTCTAATTGGCTAATCCTATTCAAACAGTAGTTCCCACTCCCATTTGTTGCTGAGATATCCCAAAAAATGTGAACGTTGCCTTAATTATGGTAATGAGTGTACTAGTATGCATGAGGAACTCCATATGGCAACAAGTGATGGTATTTTGATGCGAGTGTATGTAGCCGTATGGTCAACGGATGAGTCCAACGAAATGCATTCTGCAGGAATGACGTGCATTGTACGCTCATGTCGCTGGGAACGACTGAGACACTGCCAACCTCCAACAATCAGAGTCAAGCAAGAGAAAGAGCACAACCTTCGTTTTTGAGGAGCAAGATTACCTACCTGGCATCATACTTGATATTGCTTATCTTGAAGTTTGCATTTTTCCCGCTATATTACAACGAATTCGCGCCATATCCGTAACCTGTCATAACGACTTCCCAGTATACTTCGACTGGTATCCGGTATAAAAGTACACCATTATTCGGCTCATTGCTCAATACGTACAATGTATTAATAATACTAGTAGTAGTATATTTCAAATGTTGTTCTACTGAGTATACTCGTAAATGAAATACTGGAGTACTAACTGTAAGTTACTCATACTTCGAAGTAGATAGGAGTCGTGAATCGTTACTCCTTGCGGCTCGATATTTCTACTGTCTTGGCGAATGAATATGTGGATAAAATGTAGCGCTGATGAGGCAGCACAAGTTGGTTGACCCAAATCACTGACACGTTTGGACATTCTATTAGTTCTATTAGTTGTGAAATTAGAAAACAATCCGTTTTATTAAAAAGATTACCTTATCCAGTACTGTTGAGCCAATCACAAGGTAGGTGACATGAGTACATTAAGGTGACATTGACATTTTCCTTGGAATTAACTTATACAGTCGAATGCACCTCTTGTTTTCGATATATTTTAGACAATCTCCATACATTCATCGAGTCCGGTGAACATTTGAAAATTTTGGGTTTACAGTTTGTTAGCGGCTGATTTTATTTGAAGAATACACACGCAGTTTTAGGAAGAATGGCAATATAATTAATTGTATGACTTTATAGCCAAGATTCTTCTCTTTTGATTTGTACAAATTTGACACAAATCCAATGATTGGTCGTAAAACCGCTATGTGATTTGGGACGGAGTTGTACTACATTGTTAGTACTATTGTGCTTTTCATGTAGTTTGCCCGTTGTTTAAATGCGTTAAACAACCAGACGTTTAAAATAATATAAGCCCAATTGAAGATAAAACAACGCTAAACACAAGTTTTGCATTTCAGCAGAATAAAACAACATTATTTCAGCTGCTAACTAATCTAGTTGCAGCACCAGGCCAACTTACGCCGTACAACTACCAGTTCATCACGATGCATACCGTATTAGGCTGTGAAATGGGAGTGCTATACATCGTGTAGTCGTAGTGCGCCCTTGCCTTCCACGTACAGTGCTAAGGTTAGAGCAGATCAAGAATTGTAGGTATGGCATAGCTTTGAATCATTGGACAGAGCGACGACTACATGTACTGTAGCCTAACTATATCCCTAACGTTATACACATTACTCGGAGTAGATAATGTTAGTACTGTAGTGATCACGGATGGGAGGTCATGTATGTGGCCATAGCTCCTTCAGTTTCATTTCGTCAAGCACCTTGACATGTTGACGTAAAGCAAGTTGTTTGCCAGAATGAAAACGGCAAACAACTTGTTTTACTACGAAAGTGCCAGTAAAACCACCTTCAACCAACCAATCATCGCATTAGATGAAGTAACTTTAAACAACGCACCCAACCGTTATTCAAGTTACTTTAGACATTATTTAAGCCTGAGAAATTTTTAAACAATGAATTTAACCCTGGAATTGCCAAAAAAGGTGCAAAGCACAATACGTAGTACTTGATTTCCATTAAAAAACGAAATAGAACGAACAACAATCGAAATATATATCATGTCATTTTCTGGATTATGTTGTGGTCATTTTCTGGATTATGAACAACGCGTCAAATATAACTTACCTCATACATATACACCAGAATACACGAGGAAAATTGTAAATTCACAGTTACGGGAAAATGGTTTGGGTTTGTATCAGCACCAACACTCCGAATACTGTGAATCCTATTCCACAACATTGAAGGAATAACATCAGGTGACAAATAGATCTACAATGCTTGACGGTAGCCACCTCACTGTCAACATCATTTTGCAATTGCCTCCCTAGCCATCATGGATTCTGACAGCATGGTGACAGGCTTCTCTGTTGTGAATAGTCCTCGTGGGGGCCATACCAAGCTCCTGGCCTCACCCCATCCCTTGGACAATGCTAACTTGCTATCGAAAGCCATCTTTGGGTGGGCCAACGCCCTCCTTCGGGATGGCAACCAACGCCAACTCGGCCCCGACGACATGTGGCGCCTCCAGGACTCCAACAAGGTCGCCACCTTGGCCTCCAACTACATCTCAGTGTACGCGACCCACGGCAAGAGCCTCCTCCGAACCTTCTTCACCATCTACTGGGTCAAGCTCATTGTCATTGCTGTCCTGCAGCTCTTCACGACGGCCTGTGATCTCTACGGACCCGCGTACGTCCTCCAGAAAGTGGTGCGGGCAGTGCAACAGCCAGTGTTCGACCCCACCGCCACGTCACTGCTAGTTTTGTCGCTGTATGGCATCCAAGTCGTGAGTGCGTTCGTGAAGGCGCACATGAAGTTCATGAACGATGTGATTGGCTTTCAGTTCGGGTCCAGTCTGCGCTCAATGCTTTTTCAGAAAGCCCTCAAGCTGAGCGCCAAGTCCAAGAAGGAAAAGACTGCGGGGGACATTGCCAACTTGTTCTCCTCCGACGTGGACAGTGTCATGGAGTTTGCCGTGAGCATGAACCTCCTTTGGATCGTACCTGTGCAAATTGGCGCCGTGTTGTACCTGTTGTATGTGCTCGTGGAGTGGGCCGTCTTTCTGGGTCTCGCGGTTGTGTTTGTGATCCTTGTCATTAACGGCGTAATGGCCATCATGATGGGCAAAGAGTACGATATCATATTCGAAGCCAAGGACAACCGCATGAAAGTCGTCAACGAAGTGTTTGGAGCGATCCAAATCGTGAAATTCAACGCGTGGGAGGAAAAGTTCCTCGACAAACTCATCGAGTTGCGTCTCGCCGAAGT